TCCCTGATGTATAGAGACTTTCCGGAAAGAAATAGGGAGACGAGGAGGAAATGAAATTAGAATGGATGTTAGTTGCCGAATAGGTGATAGGATGCGTCAGCAAAAACATACTTTGGAAGAGAGATCCCGTTGTCTCCAAAATAGGCGTGAACGGGCGAGTCAGCGCCGGTCACAGGAAACGTCGGCAGAGTGATCCCGTCGACTCCAGAATGCGCGTGCTCGGCAGAGTCAGCGCCTTCCCAGGAAACATTTCCATCAGTTCCCACAACATGCACGATGAGCTAAGTAACAAAGCGTAGCGTAGGGCCCTGAGCTTCCAAGCTCTCTCGTTATTCTTATCTTTTTACATCTTTCCCTCGAGTGGGGCTATTGGTATTAGGCAATTGTCTGTTATAGTCACCACTAAGGTGAAACTTCGAGTCGCAGCAAACAAGCCTTGATTGTCCTTGTTGTTCTGTTCTGTAGTCACCACTATAAATAAAATCCAATCCAAAGACGACGCGACTACATGTACACTAGCCATACTGGCCGAAGTGAGAAAAAAGGTTAAACCAAATGTTTGAAAGGATTGGGAGAATTTCAAATTCAAAGGATTAGTCGGGGAAGTGAACTGCCTGAAAAGAAATGGTTCCGAGGGTCAGAGCATTGTTAGAGCATTGCTTGTGACAAGAAAGGTCCCGCGTTCGAGTTCTGGTAGGGTTGGCGTTACTTCTCCTTTCGGGAAGTCCACTTCCCGATTGATCCTTTAAACCAAGTTGTAACTTTGAACATGCCTACTCCCATCGAGCCCATATGATCGATGCTTGTATGTACCGGTACGGCAACAGAGATTTTCAAATTAAAGATAGGAATCCTGAACTCTCTCTCTCTCTCTCTCTCTCTCTCTCTCTCTCTCTCTCTCTCTCTCTCTCTCTCTCTCTCTCTCTCTCTCTCTCTCTCTCTCTCTCTCTCTCTCTCTCTCTCTCTCTCTCTCTCTCTCTCTCTCTCTCTCTCTCTCTCTCTCTCTCTCTCTCTCTCTCTCTCTCTCTCTCTCTCTCTCTCTCTCACACACACACACACATACACTTGTCTTTTAGTTTACCTGCAAATAACTTCACAGTAGTCGCCGCCGCAAGGGGCTGATCACCATAGGAAATCCGGCGCTCGGCCGACTGGTAATACTGGGGAGATCTGGCGCGATCGCCAGCCTCCAGATATCCACTGAGCATGTAGCAGCTGGCCAGGCCCGGTGCGTTGTCCTACCCTGGCAAGTGGAATACTGTGCTGACCACGGCCACAACGCTCAGGTCCAGCAGCTGCTCCTTGTTCGCGTGTGAGCCTGATAGTGTGATAGGAGAAGGGCAGAGTAACATGTAGAATGTGAACAACCATCCGAGGTAAATATCCATTGTAAATATGAAGAAAAAAGTTATTATGCCATGCCAGCCGGCTATTATTAAGTCATGTATGAACCCACAAAGGTGCAGGAAAATATTGTTTTGTATACCCACTGAGTAACATGTACATACCGGTAGTCACAATGGTTTTATTTTTTTTAAAGAGAAAGGACCAAGGAACTACAAGTTACGCTATAATGTCCACTAACACCACCAGTTACTTGACAATCATGGTTTTGGCAACACAATATTGTGGATAATACACAACAGCGTGAGCCAAGAGGAAAGCTTAGTAATAATACACAACAGCGTGAGCCAAGAGGAAAGCTTAGTAATAATACACAACAGCGTGAGCCAAGAGGAAAGCTTAGTAATAATACACAACAGCGTGAGCCAAGAGGAAAGCTTAGTAATAATAATCAAATACTGATGCTTACAGTGAAACCTGTCTAAGACGACCGCTCAAGAGACCTTCAAAACACGGTCTCTGTTACCAGGTGGTCTCCTTATCCAGGGTCATTTGACTGGAAATAGCATCCTTGTGTCCTGGCTGCGCTGGTTTTTTGGGACAGGTGGTCGCCGTATCCGAGTGGTCGCCTTTACAGGTTTTACTGCACTTTCTTGCACTGAAGCCGAGGCCCTATGTATTATGGTCGGCAGAGCTACACCTGCCTCCTCCTCCTACCCCCCCCCCCCCCCCCAATCCGTGGTTTTAAATTTTGTGCGAGCTGCAACTCCCGGTGCCGAAAGGCGGGCTCACGCCCCGACATGGCTACGTCCCCTTGTCTAGCCCCCAAGACGAAAATGATAGTAGCCGACTGGCCGAAATTGAAAAAAATTTTTTGTAAAAAGATGGTGGTGAAAAGTATCACCAGTAGATTCTATCAACACCCAACTACAAGGTCATGTAAGTGTTATGCTTAGTACTACGGTGGCGCTGGTCGCAAAAGACCGGCTATTCAGCCATGGTCGCAGTAGCAGTGTCAGTCCAGTGATCCCAGCGATGACAGCTCGTTCTGCAATGATTGGTTGCCACAAACTGAAAGGCTTGTTGCAGTCCCTGCAGCAGTTACAACAGACAGTACGTGTTCCGCGTAGCCGTAGATGCCCCAGGTCCTATTCAGATAATTCTCGCTTTTGGTCGTTGAACACCGGAACAAGTGGTCGTAAAGTGGAGGTGATCGGAGAGTGAGGGTACTAGGTTACGACTCCCTGCATCTTGTGACAAAAAACGTGACTGACGGGCCAGTTAAATGGTTTGGAAATGACAAGCCTTTTGTAGATCATTGCTCACCTGTTCCTGTGCCGGTTGGCGTCAGCCTGTACCGGATTGCCAGCGATGTGTTGCCATAGGTGAGGTCTCTGGCAATGCGGAACGCGCCCAGGACTCGCTTATCCGACGGAGCCGTGCTGCGACGGCACGCGGTCGGCTCATGGCATACCGCTGACTCTACAGCTAGCACATCACATGGCGAAAAAACTCAGCAGCCGTAAGAAAAATAATAATAATGAAGTAGAGGTTCTACGCCATCAATTGAAATGACTTTTTATAATGGTAGTGCAGAGGCGCAGTGCAGGCGCAACTGAGTGGTCTGCCACTGAACACTATCACTGTCTGTAAGTGTAAGGCCAACCGCTCCACGCAAATATTTGTCATCAAATTCTCAATACAAAGTAGCACTGCTTTCTCACAAAGTACGGTCTGACACCAGTTGCAATTCACTACACAAACTAGCGGTCGTGTCCACTCAATACACTCCACAATACAGAACAAATGCGATGCCCGCGTTCGCACAACGTCAATCGTCCTCCAACACAAGTGAGACGAGCCAGCAGAAAGGCCGGTTAAACGCATCTTCGCAAAACTGCACGGACAACCCTACGCCATCACCAAAACAAGTGATCTCTTCATATTATCATTGCAAATTTCTATTATCTAAATCAAATTTTCGGCCATGAGCCATGGTGAGTTTCTTGCAGAGCTGAATTAGAATACTTCAAGTACTGATAATATAAATCATACACGTAGTCGGCCACACGCAATAAAGGCAAGAGATCAGTTTGGAGTACCATGTACCAGTCCACATTACTGACAGATGTGCTACTGACATTCAATGACGTAATGACGTGGCGTTTAGCAACATCACGTCGTGAATTCGCCAGCCGTCCAACTAACACCCCGTTACTTGGAAGGTGCTAAGTGTTGGGGAATAACGCAGGCAGAGAGGGGGAAGGGGAGTGCATGCAATCAACTTTGTCAGCACGAAAACAAGCTATTAAAACGTCACAGTAAGCGAAGAAAGTTCGCTCCAATCGTATTTTTATATAGCACACGCATACGCGCACACAAACATACACACACACACGCACACACACACACACGCACACACAGAAACACACACAGAAGCATACACATACACACAGGTACACGCACAAACGCACACACACACACACACACACACACAGATACACACGTACATGTCTATACACGCACACGCACACACACACACACACACACACACACACACACACACACACACACACACACACACACACACACACACACATGCACGCGCGTAGATACACGACTGGTGTCCAGGATTATACTGCATAGGGGTGTTTCAGAGGAGTCGCCTGGTGAAGCCAGGAGATGTCTTGACCAGGTTTTACCCACACTAGGATGCACAGACCCACAAAGAAAATATTCACGGATCGCGTCAGGCTCGGCTACAGGCCGAGTTTTCCGCATCCGTAGGAACGCCACCACCCTTCAAGGATCAAGGCCCAGATGCAGCTCCTAAAGCGGTGGGAGGGAAGTAGATCAGCTCACCAGCAAGTGGTCAAAGACCGAAAATCCTATTCACTGCATCCAGACCCACATACATGTACATATAGCAAGAGGCCAATTAACCCACAGAGATGCCGCGCCGTCACAGGCAACAGTGATGGGAGGCCTGGGGGAGGGGTAAGGTGCAGCACGATCAATAATAAATTAACACTGGGTCGGGGCCTGGGATGTATCGATTGCAACATCCAGGCACGGAGTCACTCGTTCACTGCAGGGTGATTTCTCCAATGAATGTCCTGCTACTTCTAGTAGCAGTAGTGCCATCGTACAGAAGCCCACATATGGATAATAAGGACATAATTATGACACACACTGCTAAATATAAAATCACGTGCAGAGCTTAGCAGTATCGATCGCATGCCGCATGTTCCAATTTTAGACGACTTTGCAAAATCAGAAACTGCACTGTCTAAAACCCAAATACACGCACTATCTCGTTACCTTGAAACGTCGCGGAAACTTCCAACGCCTGGCTGACCAGAAGAGTGAGGGTCAGTGCTCCTAGGATCAGGCCAACGGGATGTGGGTGAGCCATTATCGGTGGATAAGGACAATACCAGTTGAGCGAGTTCCTCCTTTTCATTCAGTCTTCGGTAGAATGTGCGGTGCAGTCCCGGAACACAAGCTGCTCAAGGCAGGGACTCGCCGATGCTGCGCCTCGTGATGAATGCCGCGACCTTCTGCGCGCTGTCCTGCGGCGGTTTGCCGATGGTGATAATGTCTGCCCTCCCCGGATACAGGGAAGGGAACCCGATCGCACCTGCAGTAGCACGCGTGCTCGCCACCAACTTACTTTCGCGGAGTGGGACGGGTGCGGAAGAACCTGGCATTTTCACAGCCAATGGATGACTGCAGCAACCATGCACATAATTGTAGTATGTACTATCAAAGGATTCTCTGTAACTGTTGATGATACCCAAATGGATACTATTGTGTTGGGACAAACTGGTAAAGAATGAACATGCAAACTGTACATGTGCTACGACCTACAATGTATGAAGGTAAATCTTCGGTGCGAAAATCTCTCCTCAAGTCGATATGTAACTGTGTAGACAGGTCGGCGCCGGTGACAATCCCACAGAGCCCCCCCCCCCCCCCTCTCTCTCTCTCTCTCTCTCTCTCTCTCCCTTTTGAAATTCGCTTCCATAGAATTGGGCACCATTGCCCGTTTGGCCTTGCGAAGTAAAATAAAAATCAACAACAACAACAACAACAACAACAGAGCTAGCGGTACTTGCCGAAAACTCCCCGCTTCTACTGGAAGCTCCCTGTCACACGTGTGCGTGTGTGTGTGTGTGTGCGTGTGTGTGTGTGTGTGTGTGTGTGTGCCCATGTGCCTGTGTGTGTATGGGTCTGAATGTGCACGTGTATTTGTCAGTGTGTTCCCGCGGAATACTTGAAGTCGTGATCGGATCATTCACACCAGTCTAGTATTATAGCACACGGGGAATTGAAACACTAGAAGGAATGAATCAGTGGTCACACACGTACACACTTGAAGTGCGTTGTGTGTTGTGCTAACTCAACATACTATGACACATGCATGTTAAGCCTTCGGACGTGTCTCGTGCTATTATCCCTGCTAGCGTGATCGTGAGCATCAAGCACTCTGTAAAGAACCTGAGGCATTCGCTCTCTAGAGCTCTCTGTACCATAACACATGTGCCCGTGTAGAACGCAATGCCGTTTTTACAATACAATACACAATTTCATGACGACTCAGTCACTGCACACGGCATGATTCTGGCTGCACAGTACACAGGCGTGTTGTCTGTGTTTTCGGAACAAGACGCATGACAACGGAGCAGGCTCGCGTGCAGATCTGCCCGTTACCTCTGAACACAGACTCCTCTCAACATGGCCATATGGGCGACAGACGTGTCAGAGTGCCCTACAGGCATGTGCGTCATGTGCAAGACCTGAGACAGAGTTTGCTCCCACCGCAGTGTGTCGTTCAGTGACAGATGCAATGACTATTAGTATTACTACTAGTACTGTAACAACCTGTCAAGGCGACCCCTATTACTCCAGTGAAACTGTCAAGGCGACCACTATTACTCCAGTGAAACTGTCAAGGCGACCACTATTACTCCAGTGAAACTGTCAAGGCGACCACTATTACTCCAGTGAAACTGTCAAGGCGACCACTATTACTCCAGTGAAACTGTCAAGGCGACCACTATTACTCCAGTGAAACTGTCAAGGCGACCACTATTACTCCAGTGAAACTGTCAGGGCGACCACTATTACTCCAGTGAAACTGTCAAGGCGACCACTATTACTCCAGTGAAACTGTCAAGGCGACCACTATTACTCCAGTGAAACTGTCAAGGCGACCACTATTACTCCAGTGAAACTGTCAAGGCGACCACTATTACTCCAGTGAAACTGTCAAGGCGACCACTATTACTAGGCCTTGACAGATTATGCTAATATTTTCGTGAAATTATGCTTTTCGCATTGCTGAAAAAATTGCAGAGTTATGCTATTTTTATGCTAAAAGTTATCATTATTATGCCGCATTATGCTCACATATGCTGCTAGTATATAAATGGTTCTGTGCAAAATAACAGGGGAATTTTTTGTAGAGGGCGTTGTACTGTAGTAGCAAAAGTTCAACGGAGTCAACGCACCGTCCGACCTAGCTACGACCGTCACTGATTGTAGTGGACTGGACATGCTCTCAAGGGAGTCGGAAACCTACGACTTCCTGGTGCATCTACATGTACTTGTACATGTAGTATGATGTACCTGTATTAATCTTGTAGAACATGTACAACTGTATGGAATTTGATGCGAACAGGCGGATTATTCCAATTTTATGCCATTCGCATGCAATTTGCCTCGAATTATGCGATTATTCGATTTTACAAATAACCTACGTGGAGATAATAATTTTAATATAGCTATGAATAGGATGAAGGCCGCAGACATCACGCAACTGATGATAGGAACGAGAAAATCGATTCTGGGTTTTCAATAACATTTTTGTTATAAAATACACAGTAAATACATGTCAAACAAGTAACGTAGTTGCGTGATGTCTGCGGCCTTCATCCTATTCATACCTATTATTATTCGATTTTGGTAGGAATTATGCGAAAAATTATGCTAGCATAATCTGTCAAGGCCTAACTATTACTCCAGTGAAACTGTCAAGGCAACTACTCGGATAGAGCGTCCACCTCACTACCTCCGTGTCCTAGAAAATAACTGAAACCAGGATCAAGGGGTGCTATAGAATTTCCAGTCAAATGATGGATAAGGAGACCACCTGGTAATAGAGTCTACGTTTTGAAGGTCCCTTGAGCGATCGTTTAGTATTTCTCAGCCCCCAGCACCCCACCCACCCACCCACCTTTTCTGCAGGCAAAACGAATTCCATTAAAATATTGATGTCAATTGTCGACACCCTGAAGTAACTGGGCATTCTCCATCTGCATTCAACAAGTATTTTCAAAACGAAACTCCTTCAAACCCACCCACCCACCCCCACCCCCAAACGAAAACTTTTCGTTTGAAAATATTATTGGTAACCTTGGATGGCCCGCTAAGCATGAAGTAGTACTGTATCAGAGTACGTAGCAGCTGAGTTCCACTGGAAGAGAATTTTAGATTTTCTTCTCCCGTAGAATTTTCCGGCCTGTTTCTCCTTCCTCACACAGAAACAGCCTGTCTGTGGATTTTAGGCGCACTCCAAATTCTTTTTACTGTACAGTTCGTTTTACATGAACGTGGCCAAACAGGCTGTAAAAGTACTAATAGTACAACAAGAAGAAAAGGAGCTAAAATGGCTGTGACCCAGGGAGTTGTAAAATGCCGGTATTTTACGACTCCCTGCTGTGAAAACAGTCTAATACCGAGAGAGCTAAAATGGCTGTGAATGCAGAGTCTAATGCCGAGCCAGACGAGCCTCGGCCTGGACAAGGTCGACAGGCGCGAGGTCGAAGTGACGACGGCGAACAGAGCGTGAACCTCGGACACAACGGATCGGGCGGACCAGGCAAGAGAAAATGGCGCGCAGCACCGCAGCCAAGCTACAAGTACAACCCGGATAGGCGGCGTTGCGTTTGGTGGCCAAGTCGTGCGCCCGCAGCCTGTTGATGACCACGTTGTTTCTACCAGCAAGTTAGTTCTGGGCCCGTGCCACCACAGGAGGAGAACACTGTTGTTGTTGTTGTTGTTGTTTTCTTTATTGAATTCGCTAAAACCAAAACGGACAGAACTGTCCAGTGACAAGGGAGCGAATGATGAGCGTCACAATCACAATGCATCAAAACATCTCACTAACGGTGTGAAGGAGCCATGCTCGACTTCTTTGACACGTTCGCCATAAACTCGCTTTTTCTCGCCTTCAAGCCTTCGGTAGAGGGAGGGGAGGGACTTAGCACGATAGCTTGACGCATGTCACACCCTTGTGTCGAAGAAATGGTTGTTGTAATACATGCCAGTCGTGTCCTCACCACGTGAACAGCAGCTACATATTATGTGTATGTAAATCTTGTCCTGCTATGCTTTCTGAGAACAACACTAACCGGTTTGAGAGAAAGACACAAACGAGAAACTCTGTTCTCCAATTGACCCCAGGACAAAAATTTGTCTTTTGGCCGAGACTTTTGGTCTGTGGCACGTGTTTCTTTGCTTCATTGTCCGTTTTGTTTTTCATCTAAGCATTGGTGGTTCAGTGGTAGAATCCTCGCCTGCCACGCGGGGGGCCCGGGTTCGATTCCCGGCCAATGCATTTTGCCTTTTTTTTTGTAAGAACTTAGAAAAGGAAGAACCTGTCAAGGCGACACTTGCCTAAGATGACCACTACAGATACCGGTACAATGTAGGACCAATGCCAATGGATGTTATTGCCAGTCAAATGACCCTGGATAAGGAGGCTACCTGTACACAGCGACCACATTTTAAACGTCCATTGAGCGGTCGCCTTAGATTACATTGTACTTCCAAGGCATAGCGATGGGCCAACAGAAACCTACCAGTATTTTGGACTTGGCCTCGACCAGTGTTTGGCGTTTCCTCATACTAGTAGGAGTAGGTTGCACACATTAATGTCCTTATCTTTCCTTTTCCTGTTACACCTGGACTCGTCCTTGGTTTCCCTTTTTCTCAGGCTCTGGCTATTCTCCTGTATTGTGACCTTCTTGCTATTATTCACTTGCATGCGTATATGGGGCTTTGAATAAATCATGGATCACACACACACATCATGAATGGTTGTCCAGTGAACATGCTACCCTAATACATGTACAGCTTTTTTCAGAGAGAGAGAGAAACAGCCTCTTGTATGGGCCAAACTGAAATGGACTGTAGCTCGTTAACGTGTTTCTTTTTGTTCTCCGCACGTTTTCCAGTAGGGCTATGTTCATAGTAAAAAAATAATAATAATAATAATAAAGCTCAATCATGATTGTATGATGTACATGACATTACATTGTACATGATTGTACATGTACATGTAGCTGACATGTTGACACCCTTAGGCTCTTCGTGACCAGTAGCAGTAGCCAGTGTCTAGATTGTGATCTGCTGATCCCCTGGGGCCTCGTGCATGAAATTCTGAGTCTGACAACGAATTTCTCATCTTCTTCTCGTGACTTGCTGTAATCAAGACGAGCAGTAGCAATCAGTGGGGACTATACAACTCGGAGAGTGCCAATGGACGACATGTTGTGGGGGGCAGGACACGCGGCGGATTGTCAAATCTGTCAAACGGGGTGAAAGGTGGCTCGCTGCCAACTATTACACCCGTCAGGCGTCTCTGCTCGCCGAGTCGCCTCTGGCATGCAGTGTTTTGAGCGTGTACTACGGTGTAGGTCGATCATGCAAGAGGCGCCAGACATCATAATATCAGTCAATACCAGCGTGGGTGTCATGTACATGTTGACAACCTACATGTACCTGTATGATGATGGTATGTTGCAATACTCTGCGAATCTAACTCACATGCACCAACGTGACGATAGGCGATACTGTAAAGCTGGCTGCAGTCCAGATGTTCTGTATCTTGAACTTGAAGTGCATGTGCATCTTCAAACTCGCCACAAACCGTACCCCAAATCCTTACTAACTAGCGGCTTACTGCATTGGTTTTGTTTCTAAGTGGATCTCTGTCCTCTGCGCAGTTCTTAGGGGGGGGGGGGGGCTTTGAAGACGAAACAGTACAACCGGCAGTTGGAACGACACCGCAGTCACCGTGTGTGTGTGTGTGTGTGTGTGTGTGTGTGTGTGTGTGTGTCCTTTCCACGCAGCTAGCTGGAAGCTCAGGTCTTGTGCTGTAGACTGTAGTAGTCGTCCGGGAGACCCTGTGCGTACCTGCAGCTGGGTGCTATCACCCAGTATGGGCATGTGCCTTCTTGTCTTCTTGTGCATGCATGTCAACCTGGCGTGTGACAGTCACATTGTGCATCGTGACTATACTGCGGGCCAGTCTCTACCCAGCTTGACCGCTACCCGGCTTGGCAAGCTCACAGGCGCATGCACCCGCATCACTGGTGTCCCCATCCGATCGTGGGCGATCTATCCGACATTGTGTAGATCTACCAGATAGTACTTACCCGCTGTATGTAATTGGAGCGGAGGAGGCACTCGGGTGTCGCTGCCACATAATCATTATGACCTTACATCCTTGCTTAACCCGAAGTCCTCGTTTGCCCACGATGCTCGACGCGACAGGGTCCGGCAATGTGCTGTTTCTCAATTATTGTCGTGTGAAGGGTCTCTCGTGAAACGCGATACACGCGCCACAATACGCGGCGCGTCCCAGCGATGCTACATTTTGAAGAAGAAGTTGTCGGTAGCAGCATGGCTTGCGGCGTATGGCGTCGCAGAAGTGAAATTCTGCATCGCATCTATACAAAGAGTCCTAGCGAAACTCATGGTTGTAGAACAAGTCGCCTAAATGAAGTAGATGTCCGTAAACAGGGCTGGACTTGACCTTCAAGCGTCGCGTGGTCTCGTCCGGTCGAAAAAAAAAGAACCTGCAGGCTACACCACTGCTACTGTGACCTCTACCTTTATTGCCACACACCGTGCATGCTTACCGGCGCGGCACGTGGATGGTGAGGAAAGGCAGGGAAACTCTCGCACCCGCAGGGCAGGTTGACCGACGCACGCACCCTCGGAGCGCGCGCCATGTGTCAATGTTCTCGAGCTGACGTTTCTCAATCGAATCCTTGATAAACGACTGCATTACGGCGTCGCATGCATCCACACGTACTAGCCCAAGCACATACTGTACAATCATCATGTACATATGTATCTGTCGATCACATAGGATTCAACTTGGTACGACCACACAGATATTGCAATACACTCCATACTTTCTGCTGTCAGCTAGCTGTTTCGGCCAAGCAGCACGCATGACCGTATGCAGTTATGGATTACATTGGCGTGCTACAGTACAGAGCGTCTCTGGACTTAGTTGAGTGCTGCCTTTCCTTGTTCTCAGTCCGGTGTATGCATACCCGTTGCCTCCTGCTGTTGTTCAAGGTGTACACAGCGACCACAATTTCAACGTCCATTGAACGATCGCCTTAGATTACATTGTACTTCCAAGGCATAGCGATGGGCCAACAGAAACCTACCACTACCAGTATTTTGGACTTGGCCTCGACCAGTGTTTGGCGTTTCCTCATACTAGTAGTAGTAGGTTGCACACATTAATGTCCTTATCTTTCCTTTTCCTGTTCCACCTGGACTCGTCCTTGGTTTCCCTTTTTCTCAGGCTCTGGCTATTCTCCTGTATTGTGACCTTCTTGCTATTATTCACTTGCATGCGTATATGGGGCTTTGAATAAATCATGGATCACACACAGTCATCATGAATGGTTGTCCAGTGAACATGCTTCCCTAATACATGTACAGCTTTTTTCAGAGAGAGAGAAACAGCCTCTTGTACGGGCCAAACTGAAATGGACTGTAGCTCGTTAACGTGTTTCTTTTTGTTCTCCGCACGTTTTCCAGTAGGGCTGTGTTCATAGTAAAAAAAATTAAAAAATAATAATAATAATAATAAAGCTCAATCATGATTGTATGATGTACATGACATTACATTGTACATGATTGTACATGTACGTGTAGCTGGCATTTTGACACCCTTAGGCTCTTCGTGACCAGTAGCAGTAGCCAGTGTCTAGATTGTGATCTGCTGATCCCCTGGGGCCTCGTGCATGAAATTCTGAGTCTGACAACGAATTTCTCATCTTCTTCTCGTGACTTGCTGTAATCAAGACGAGCAGTAGCAATCAGTGGGGACTATACAACTCGGAGAGTGCCAATGGACGACATGTTGTGGGGAGCAGGACACGCGGCTGATTGTCAAATCTGTCAAACGGGGTGAAAGGTAGCTCGCTGCCAACTATTACACCCGTCAGGCGTCTCTGCTCGCCGAGTCGCCTCTGGCATGCAGTGTTTTGAGCGTGTACTACGGTGTAGGTCGATCATGCAAGAGGCGCCAGACATCATAATATCAGTCAATACCAGCGTGGGTGTCATGTACATGTTGACAACCTACATGTACATGTATGATGATGGTATGTTGCAATACACTGCGAATGTAACTCACATGCACCAACGTGACGATAGGCGATACTGTAAAGCAGGCTGCAGTCAAGATGTTCTGTATCTTGAACTTGAAGTACATGTAGATCTTCAAACTCGCCACAAACTGTACCCCAAAACCTTACTAACTAGCGGCTTACTGCATTGGTTTTGTTTCTAAGTGGATATCTGTTCTCTGCGCAGTTCTTGGGGGGGGGGGGGGGGGCTTTGAAGACAAAACAGTACAACCGGCAGTTGGAACGACACCGCAGTCACCGTGTGTGTGTGTGTGTGTGTGTGTGTGTGTGTCCTTTCCACGCAGGTCTTGTGCTGTAGACTGTAGTAGTCGTCCGGGAGACCCTGTGCGTACCTGCAGCTGGGTGCTATCACCCAGTATGGGCATGTGCCTTCTCGTCTTCTTGTGCATGTCAACCTGGCGTGTGACAGTCACATTGTGCATACTATACTACCGGCCAGTCTCTACCCAGCTTGACAAGCTCACTGCCTCACGCGCGCACACGCATCACTGGTGTCGCCATAAAATCGTCGGCGATCTATCCGACATTGTGTAGATCTACCACTGTAGATCTACCAGTTACTAGCACCTACCAGCTGTATCTGATTGTAGCGGAGGAGGCACTCGGGTGTCGCTGTCACATAATCATTATGACCATCCATCCTTGCGCAACCCGAAGTCCTCGTTTGCCCACGATGATCGACGTGACAGCGTCCGGCAATGTGGTGTTTCGCAATTGTCGCGTGAAGGGTCTCTCGCGAAACGCGATACACGCGCCACACTACGCAGCGCGTCCCAGCGAAATGCCTGACAGGCTTGCCCGTACACACAGAGCCAGTCCATTCAAAACCGCATCTGTGACGGACCTGGTACAGTACTCGTCTTGAAACGCATGCGCGCTTGCGCTTGAGGAGAAAGTGACGCGCGTCGCTAGCGCGTCGCCCACCGCAGAAGCTGAGCTTCAAACCACCAGAAGAAGCTGTCGATAGCAGCATGGCTTGCGGCTTATGCCTTATGGCGCCGCAAAAGTGAAATTCTGCATCGCATCTATACAAGAGTCCCAGCGAAACTCATGGTTGTAGAACAAGTCGCCTGCATGAAGTAAATGTCCGTGAACATGGCTGGACATGACCTTCAAGCGTCGCGTGGTGTCGTCCGTTCGAAAAAAAAACCTACACTATTGCTACTGACTACGACACTACTATGGCTGACCTTCATTGCCACACACCATGCATGCTTACCGGCGCGGCACGTGGATGGTGAGGAAAGGCGGGGGAAACTCTCGCACACGCAAGGCAGGTTGACCGACGCACGCACCCTCGGAGCACGCGCCATGTGTCGATGACGTTCTCGAGCTGACGTTTCTCAATCGAATTCTTGATAAGCGACTCCATTATGGCGTCGCATGCATCTACTACTAGTAGTAGTACTAGTACTACTACTAAGGCTAATACTACTAGCCCAAGCACGTGCTGTACAATCACCGTGTACCTGATTTTATTGGTCGATCACAGAGGATTCCACTTGGCACAACCACACAGAACAGTGTCAGATATTGCAATACACTCCATACTTTCTGCAGACAGCTAGTAGTAGTAGCTGTTTCGGCCAACCAACACACATGACCGTATGCAGATATGGAATACGTTGGCGTGCTACAGTACAGAGCGCCTCTGGACTTAGTTGAGTCACGGCTGCCTTTCCTTGTTCTCAGTCCGGTGTATGCATACCCGTTGCCTCCTGCTGTTGTTCAAGGTCGCTGAATTGCTGATATGCCCGTAACTCGCTCAGGAAGGGTGAAGATGGTTTCCGCGAGCTTCCCAATGGCTTTGTTAGTTCTCCTCGGCGTCTCAGCGGTGTTGCTGGCACCCCGGGTGGCATCCAGCGCCCACGATCACCAAGGTAAGTGTTGCTGTGCTGTTGTCTCTAGGAATCGTCTCGCCTGTGTTTGCTTCCGTGTACGTGCAACGCCAGCGGAATCATGCAATGGGCACCTCACTCTGCAAAAGAGCATCATCTCCTTGTATGCCCTCGGCGAACACTGCAATCGATATCGATTTCAATAATTATTATTAATTTTGTCAAACGCACTGATGCCCCCATAATTCTGAATATGGGGTCACATGATAATGTACCAGTTACTTTACGGCAAGTCAGTAGAGCGCTCTTCCACGTGACCGTCCCAAAGCAGTCTCCCGCTCTGGCGCTAGCGCTCACATCCTATTTCCCTCGGGTCAAACAGCGCCTGCAGACAATGCGTTTCAAACGCCTGGACCATCAGGCATTAGACTTTTTTTCAAATCAAATAAGAGAGGTTGTGCATAACGAAAATTCGTAAAGATCTTTCGGAATCTGAGCCGTCTGGAAGTGACGAAAATTCGTAAAGAAAATCTGTTGTGCTCAACGAAAAACGTAGTGTGACCATGGTGACCCTTTCGAGTACTTTTTCCACTGTTTGCGCGAACAGCTTCAGCCGCTTCATCACTCTGTCGCGAATAGCTTTCTTCGTCACACCACCGAACTGAGTTGGGCTCAAGTTTTCCAGCTCACAGGCAACGATCTCCATGGCTGGAAACCCTCGTCGAAACGGTTGGTCGTGAGAACGAAGCTGCCTGAGAAGGGCCAGGTCCATCGCGAGATCAAATGTCCTTCGCTGAGACGTCGCAGGGGAAGAAGAAGACGCCGACGTGGCAGAATTCTGCTGCGGGGATTCAGCAGAATAATTTGTCACAGGGCGAGCACTGACAGGACTTCCAGATCTGACAGAACTGACAGAACTAGCCGAGCGCTGTCCAGGTGACAGAGGATCGCTGAGAGAGCGGGAAAGAGATCCATCAGCTCCACAGGATGCCGAGTAGGAAGAACTCGCAGAACGACTTGAAAAGGCCATGGCGAAAAAATCTTGACACCACGTGCATCAACACAGCTACATGTACATGTACACAGAAGCTTGCGAGAAAGAAGCGAAAGTAACACTTAGTTCAAAACGTAAGATCTTCAAGTTTCGCGGTCCTCGCGAAATTCCTTTCCTTTTTCGTTACTCGTGCCCAGACGAGGTCTACGAATTTTCGTTATGCACAACCTCTCTAATGTGTTTGGGAAATGTTTCTCCGGGGTCGGAAGGTGAGCGCAATAGAGGATAGTGCTGGTGGCAATCGGGATGGGGTCGATGAGACCAGCGCTCCACTGACTATGAACAATGGTGAAGGCCTAGGCTAGGGCCAGCTCTGTCCCGAATGAGCACCTACGGCATAATCCTTGATGGAGACTTGAGATTGAAAGCAGGGCCGCTACGCTGGGGCGATGTTCCCCAAGGCAAAGAAAGGACTGCCAAAATGTAGACTAGTCGTATCCGTTTCCACGCCCGTTGCTGTTCGCTGGTATCCTGAGACCTCCATAGCTACAATGGATGAGCGAACTTGGAGGTGGTCTTGGCCATCTGGGTAGCGAGTATCTTGGGTATCACAATTACAAAAATTGTGATGTTGTGGACATTTCAACACCTCGGCTTGGTCTCAACAGACAACAGGTACGATATCGCCGCTCCTTCTAGGAGGTTCTACAATATGAAGTGCTGAAGATACGGCCGGAGAAGTCGCTCTATATTGCGCAAAGTCATTCGGTGCGAAGGGTTTCTCCTCTCGGAATGTCGTCTACGAGACGAGAATGTTGTTTTCCACCAGTACAGTTACCATCACCAGTAAGGATTATTACACCGAGGTTTGTTGAAACAAAACGATCACAGTGCTGTTAGTAGTAAGCGAACGAGTAAGGTTACCTCAATCCGTGGTGATGGGTATTGGTACTGAAACGAACATCCATTGATAGTAAGTAGTTCATTCGACTAGGGTTCGAACTTCGAAACGACCGACTTCCTCTTGTAGATCTACATTGAGTGTTCCCAGTAAACTAACTAACCAGTGTCCTCGCGTGGAGTCGACACGCTGCGGAGGTGACTTGTGCGCGCATACCATGTAGACCAGTGCTGCTCAGCGAAATCCAGTCGCGTCACTCAAGCAGTTTGCGCCTTGCATCATTTCGCAGCCCAGTGTTCGCAGCAATCGCAAGTCTAGGGCTGCGCGACGCCCGGCGGCGTGTACTCGAGTGACGCGACTGGATTTCATTGAGCAGCACAACAGTCCATTCATTGGAAACTGTCCCGCTAGCGCTGGCTTTTGAAAGCTGCAGCATTGTACATGTGTATGTGTAGCAGGGTGCATTCCCTGGTATGTGATCTACGTCAGTGAGTTGTCCAGCAGGATAATTATCTACAATGTATAGAATAGAGTCAGTAGAGGATATGGGAAAGAGGCCATCACATGATCTGTATGAAGTTCACAGTCAGATAGAGTGACGAACATTGCTAGGTTTGTGGAGTGACCGTGCGAACAGTGTTTGTTCGACGTACATGACATTGCATTAACGTGGACATGGAAATCTGGTCAAATGACGCCGGACTGGTTGCATGCACAGTACACGTGTTGATCGTCTGCATACCCCCGTCACGGCCGCATGGCCAGCGCCCTGGGGGCCGCTTGACCTCCGACCGGAATTCCATGTCCACGACCGTACGTAACGTCAATGACATTTGACTGCACAGCACTGCTCGATGAAATCCAGTCGTGTCGCACCAGTCTGCGCCTTGTATCATTACGCAGCACTGTTCGCAGGTGTAGGGCTGCGCGGCGGCGCCCAGCGCGTACTTGAGTGACACGACTGGATTTCACAGAGCAGCACTGTAGACTGCGTTTTACGTGACAAGCCAGGCAAAACAGTGACAGCGTTACAACACACGTTTTCTCTGGCCTTGCCTTCTGCCCGCACTAAAGCTGGTTTTTCTCGTCTTGGCTACATACATGTAGGTTCTGATCGGTGGAACATGCTGCCTTCCACTGTTCGCTCTTGTACAGATTATCGCACATTTGTTCAATCATGCTTAACCTTTCTGGGGGCTCCCGTAAGACGACCATAGGTCTGTGGGAAACACCCTAGTAAAATAGAATAAGTGTACATCCTGTTGTACGAGCGAGAGAGCATGTGCATGCCTGTACATAGCTGCGCATCTGTCTTGCCCTTACTCCATACAAAGCAGCATCTAAGATGATGACATAATCCCTTACTCCATACAAAGCAGCATCTAAGATGATGACATAATCCCTTACTCCATACAAAGCAGCATCTAAGATGATGACATAATCTCAAGAACTCACTTCAAAGGGCTTCCAAGTACAGTATTGTCGGCAGTCAAAGAACTGCGGGTCAGCCTCGTAACTTAGCCTAGGCCGTTCCTGTTGTCCATGCACGATCGTTAATGCACAGTTGGGTCACTGTGTACAAGAGTATACCAGCTGTATAGTGCCACGGTACTTGGTGAAATCTTACCGTGTTCGTTCTTCGGCGTCCCGCAGTGCTGCACTGACAGTGAATGACTACACGTGTGTGTGTGTGGGGGGGGGGGGGTGCATTCTCCTGGGTGGTTACCAACAGCCAGTGTATGCCGGAGTATGTGGTGTGGTGTGTGTGTGTAGGGAAAAATGGAAAAATGAAAAATAGGGATTCACTGGCCAGAGAAAGTCACTTCAATCAGCTGTGTGGCGGATTCCAGGCTAAAAAATAGTGGCGGTCAATTCATCAGCCTTGCCGCAAGCTGTTGAATGGCGTAATCCCAGCACAAGTTGCTATGTCTAACATAGCTGTTCGCTATCATCGCTTCCGCGATGGGCAGATCTGAGGTGTGTGCATGTGTGCGTGCGTGTCACACAGCAGATAGCTGAGGGAGTGGCACATCAGTATTTCCTTTGAAGGGCTCAGACCGCAGGAAAGAGCAACAGGTTGTTTGTGAACGTAAAATCCAACCCACTGCCGACCCAGCAATTCGCATACACGAAATAGCCCGACACATTTCCGGATTGGTTGGCTCACTGCGTTGACATTGGCCTGCTATCCTGCAACACACTATGGTCCTGCTGTCCTTTGGCTTTTTCCATGCAGGTACAACTGCAGCCGGCTCACCATGCACATTGGATCCCACGTGGCATCAGAACTCACACCCACTCAACAGGAGACTGATGGCCGCTATCAACATCACCGGACATGTGTCGTTCGACAACTCCTCGCTGGTGCTGAGCTTCACGATCGCGCCGCGCGACTTCATCGGTAAGTCCTCCAGTCGATTCTCTCCGGGATTACCAGCATGAGCTGCGGCTTGCTGTAGAAGCGGTGATTAGGGACCGGTGTCATAGACCATCACTCGCCACATCTCCCCACCACCATCACCATTACCACCGCCATCACCAGCACGACCATCACCACCACCACCACCATTACCACCACCATCACCAACACCACCATCACCACCACCACCATCACCACGACCATCACCACCACCACCACCACCACCATCACCACCATCACCAGCAGCACCACCACCACCACCACGACCATCACCACCACCACCACCACCATCACCACCATGACCATCACCACGACCATCACCACCACCACCATCACTACCACCACCACCACCACCATCACTACCACCACCACCACCACCACCACCACCACCACCACCACCACCACCACCACCACCACCACCACCACCACCACCACCACCACCACCACCACCACCACCACCACCACCACCACCACCACCACCACTACTACCACTAACAGATTTGTGCTTAGCACACGCAACAGGCACACAAGAGGGGAGGAGAGGGGAGGGGGGGGGGGGGGGGAGTTGGGAGGGCGAAGGTGGAAAAGGGTGTGCCTTAACCTGTTAGAGCGCTCACTACCTATGATTGGGCGGAGCGCAGCACACACAGTGAGACATTGCTTTCCTTTGTGTACCTAGCGTGTGTATATTTTACAACAAATGCTCCTCCTCCATGCACTCTAAAGCTGACCATTGTTACCCTCGGTAGCCATTACTCACACCAATAATCTCAAACAACGAAGGGGTCAAGGGTAAAACATTTCCTTCTGACAGCTGTTTCGCCTATCAAAGGCTCATCAGAGAAGCCGAATGGTACCGTTCACAGCTTATTGATAATCGTGTGTGTGTTTGAAGTGGACGTATAATTAATTATACTGAATAGTTAATTATATAGAGATTGGAAGCTTTGTTACAACTCTGAGTTTCACGTAATACAACGATCATCAGGCAACTGATGGATCCAAAACAGGCAGCCAGAACATAAGGGGGAGTAAGGTGGGAAATTCTGAGGGGTATCATGGGCGACGCGTATCATAGCGCAAGAGTCAGGTGCAGGCGTGAAGTAAGCTGCTAAGTCTTCAGACTTGGGGCTAATAGTTTGTATGTCTGTGTTATGCCTGTCGACAACCTTTCTCTGGCTTTCCGGTTACGACCGCAACCAGTGTACCAGATCCAAGAGGAAGAACTGACAAAGCTGAGAGTTATGGCCGTCGTGACTGCCCAGCCACCGGGCCATGGGCAGTTCACCGAGTGCCACGCCCTAGGCGTGGTGTACACACGCAGTGTCCTTGCACAGCTGCAGAAACACAAGACGTACGCTCCAGCCGGACGCCGCGTGGACTTTGGCACGCAGATGAAGGTGGCCAAGATGAGCGTGAAGTTCTTTGCCGGTGAGCTGGCGATCTGTCCATTGTGTTCCTCATGTGTATTTGACTGAGAATCAAGAAGGTATTAGCTGCCGGTGGATAATCATTATGACGACATTTTCACTCCCACTATGCTCCCAGTATGCAATTTTTTTGTCTTTGCCTGTGAGCTGTGATCATTGTAAAAATAGAATAAAAAAGTGAAAATGAAGGCTTGAAAGGAGGCAAGAAGTACAGCACCGAGGTGTTATTATTATTGCCCCACCCTTGGCGGCAAGTCTACCCACAGTAAATGGGACCTTGATTTACCGCTTCAGTTGAACCCCGCCTGTAAGTCGACCAACCCATTCCTAATCCCGTTATTACCGTAAAATAATAAACTATACTGTAAAAAAAAAACTGTATATTGCAGAGCTCACTGACTTTGTCAGTTTGAGCATTCTGGCAAGGTACGTTCGGGCCTGATTTAAATCTGGCTTTGGAGATTGTATCTTCGTTGCTATCAGGTTCGGCCTCATATTCTCCGTGCTGCGCTGATGAGTTCACAAAGAACGAAACAGCATGCTGTCCGCGGATTGAGTACCGTAAGTGTACAAATGTTCCGGCCCATTCAAATTTCGGCCTCCCAGGGCTAAAACCCCATTCGGCCGCATCAAAGTTTCGGCCTGCACTGCTGCCGCCTGTATATGCTGTCACACTGAGCATTGGAAAACAAAATTTCGGCCGCAACAAATTTTCAGCCAAACATGACCAGGTCGAAAATAAATACGCGCCGAATATGTGTTGACTTACGGTACGTCATGTAAGGTAGTAGTCGTAGCAGTCGTATAGTTCTTATTTATTTATTTTTACAAGAGGAGTCCCGACAGGTCATCGCCTTTTTCCTCGACTTGTCATCGGAAATTACGGTAATCGAAATTGTAGGACCTTTGTGCCACCCATTCTTGTTTGCTGTTCTGGCTGCTTTGTCGCTATCAGGTCATATGTTGCAGTGCCAGTATGCATTGGGAAGAACGCAGGTGGAGAAGTGTGCCAGCCCCACCAGCAGTAGCAGCGAGACCCGGACTGCCGAGACTGGTCACATCGACGACCCGGTCCACAAGTATGCGTGCAAGATTGGATGCGCAGCCCAACGTCTCTCCTTTGCCTGGCTGGGTACGAGTACAGACTAGGGGACTTAGTGTAGGGAACTAGGGGCCTTAGTCATTGGAGCTGTCGATTGTCATAGCGTCTTGCATTACAGCCTGTCTCGTATAGAAGCCTGTTTTCAAGCTGGGTACGAGTACAGACCAAGGGACTTAGTCTACATGACTACAGTACTGCCGGGTGCCGAAGAACGGGGGGAGGGGGAGGGGGGGGGGGGGGGGTAGCTTCCTAGCCTAGACAGTTCTTATTATCATGTATTACACTCTATGCACAGTTGAGTCGCCGTGTATACATTGGTATGCTGTGCTTGATGAAATTCTAGCCTGGTCATTCTTCGGCGCTCCGTTCTTCGGCGTTCTTCGGCTCTCCGTTCTTCGGCTCTCCGTTCTTCGGCTCTCCGTTCTTCGGCTCCCCGTTCTTCGGCTCCCCGTTCTTCGGCTCTCCGTTCTTCGGCTCTCCGTTCTTCGGCTCCCCGTTCTTCGGCTCCCCGTTCTTCGGCTCTCCGTTCTTCGGCTCCCCGTTCTTCGGCTCCCCGTTCTTCGGCTCTCCGTTCTTCGGCTCTTCGTTCTTCGGCTCTCCGTTCTTCGGCTCTCCGTTCTTCGGCTCCCCGTTCTTCGGCGCCCGGCAGTACTGTTGGGGACTTAGTCATTGGAGCTGTCGATTACTATAGTACGGAAGGTTCAAGGTTAAAGAGAGACCATACGGCGAAATGTACGTCATGTGAAACTACTTGTTTAGTAGTCAACTACTCCATCACAATGTCATGCATGAGGAGTACTGTAGGAGTTTGGCGTTCGGCTTGTGCAATTCGTTCTCGCAACGCTTCCCCCTTCTGTACTTATCTTTGATATTTCTGAGCCACCCAAGTTGGGTGGTGTGCTGCTTTGCGGCTTCAAATTGTAGTCAGACCGTGTTGTCAAGTATCTTACTGGTCTCGTCATCGTCCAGTAACAATCCACATTCTTTGTTCCGGTGGGACTGTAGCTTGTGCTCGTTTTCGTTGCGCTTACCTTCCCCTCTTTGGTCTCTCCTTAACTTGGAACCGTCCGAGTTGGAAGGCTGTTGGCTAGCGCTACGGAGATGTGTTGAAGCTAGGTGTCAGGACGTCGAATGTCTCAGTACTCTGTCAGTTGTGTGCCTAGTTGTTGCACTTTCTGACTGTATATAATATCTGGTTACAGTGGTGGACAGTTACTCTTAACTCGTATCCATATGTCCTTTGCTATCTACAGCTATCATGTTAAAGACTAATTCTCCTGCACGTTGGAGTCCAGAGTCAACTGTATTCTCTCTTGTCTGTTGCTTTGTCATGCCGCTACAGGTCGTCCACAAATTACGAGGACAGACAAAACAGTCGAAGGCACCCAGCAGTACATCACCTTCAAGATAAAGGGTCTCACGGGCCAGCACGTCACTACCGGTGAGCAAGAAATTCGGAAACGCCACGCCGCACACGGCACAACTTGCCCACCCACACTTGACCTGTGTGTAAAGAGTCTAAAGACCACCTGTCTACAAAGACCACCTGTCTGCAAAGACCACCTGTCTACAAAGGACACATATCCATAAATACCACTTGTCTACAAAGACCTGTTAACAATGACCACCGGTGCACAAAGACCACCTGTCTAATAAGACCACCTGTGTACAAAGGCCACTTATCCATAAAGACCACTTGTCCACAAAGCCGCCCGTGTACGAAAACAACCTGTTAACAAAGACCACCTGTATACAAGGTTTCCTTCCAGTTGCATCTTCCTTTAGGCTCTGTTTTACTTTCTCTTTTCGTTTGTCCCTCTTGATATTTGTACCTTGTACTGTTGAGCTGTCCCCGGGGAAAATTGCGATTCCGCGGCCGCGTTTTTTCCCCGCTTTTTTTTGCGATTTTTTAAAAGACCGCGTTTTCCGCGATTTTCCTGCGTTTTTTGAACTTTTTTGTTGCACTACACGTACACACAGTGCCCTGTTCGGTCAGCAACGTCTCATCGTGGCGACTTTTTACTCAAATATGACCAGTGCTTACACCAGAGACTTGTTACTGATTGATTTCACTACATACTCACTGAAAATTGCCGCACATTAATATTAATCACCGCATATTTACCGCAAATTCACCGCAAATCATGCCATATTATGCCACGTTTTTCCCCGCGTTTTTTGCGATTTTTTTCCGCAATTTTTCCCGGGGACAGGTTGAGGCAACAAACTGAAAATTAATAAAAACCAAACCAAACCAACCAAACAAAGACCACCCATCCATAAAGACCACCTATTACATTTTTTTAACACCTGTCTGCAGAAACTACCTCTCTATATCTACCGTATCTCTACAAATATCACCTCTCGACAAAGACCACCTGTCAACAAAGACCACCTGTCTGTAAAGACCGGCCGAGCCAAACTGATGCGGACACAGTTATTCTAAATATGGATCTGTGTGTGTGTGTGTCAGTCTCATCATGTGAATTATCACCTAAACGAGAGAGCTTGGAAGCTCAGGGCCCTACGCTATGCTTTTTTGCCTTGATGACCTAGACAAAAAAAGGATAGGGATGTTATAAATTCTTGTAAGTTTCTACTTTTTGTTTTTAGACATAACCTGGGATTCGAACCCGCACTATCGCCCTGCATGCATGCCCCGATACACGTCGCATACATACTAATTCTTCCAAGTTGCTTCACGTTATGATCTTGTATTTGAAAGCCCTATTTGAATATCCATTGTGGCCAGCCGTCTTTGAATGTACGGTACGGTACGGGACGGGTACGGTCGAGGGTAATACGACACCGTCTACCGCCTTGATGACGGCAAAAAAAGAAAAGGGATGTTATAAATCTTTCAATTCTCCTATTTTTTCAGGCATTACCTGGGATTCGAATCCGCACTATCGCCCTACACATGCATTCCCCCATACACTTCGCATTCATACTCATTCTTCCAAGTTGCTTCACGTTATGATCTTGCGTTTGAAAGCCCTATTTGAATATTGCGGCCAGCTGTATGTGGCCAGCTGTGTTTGATGGTACGGTACGCGACAGATACGGGATAGCGCCAGGCGTGACACAAACACACAAACAAACACCAAATTGAAGCTGTGTGGACCCTGGCTAGCGCCAGACATTACTGAAGTAATGTCTTCTGCATAGCTACGGGAATAATCATGCCTGTTCAAAACTCTGCATGAACCATCGCTCAGTTCCATCGCAGGTCATATTAATTTTCATGCCTGATTCACTCAACTGTGGGGGGGGGGGGGGGGGAGGTACTGGTTCATCCTTAGCATGCTTGAACTTCGCTCTCCAACTCTCCTTCTGCATATTTTGACGTTTTGTGTGTGTGTGTGGGCGCACGTGTGTGTGTGTGTGTTTGCGTGTGCCTATGTGTGTGTGTCTCTCTCTGTATCTCTCTTTCTTTCTCTTTCCTTCTCTCTCTCTCTCTCTCTCTCTCTCTCTCTCTCTCTCTCTCTCTCTCTCTCTCTCTCTCTCTCTATCTATCTATCTATCTATCTATCTCCCTTCCTCTGTTTTTCTCTCTCCATCTCTCTCTCCCCATTGGCCCGTGGCTGCAGGGGAAGGTAGGAATCGGATCTCGATTGGATTCCAGAAGAACCCGGTAGCCGGTAAATTTAATGTGGCCTTAAATGCTAGCAGTTGCCATGCCTACCAGGTGGCTGGTCCAGACAGCACGGGTGTCTACTGCAGGGTGAGCTGCACCATGAGCGGGCAGAGGTACACAGTGCGTACCGTGGCTGCCAACATGTACGGAGAAGCTGACCGGTGCGAGAGCGAACATGTACGGAGAAGCTGACCGGTGGGAGAGCGTGAACAGAAAACGCTGACGCCTGCCAAACCGCTCACTGGTATATTGTACTGCATGCCCGAGCGTCCTGCCCGAGCGTCCTGCCCGAGCGTCCTGCCTGAGCGTCCTGCCCGAGTGTCCTGCCTGAGCGTCTTGCCCGGGCGTCCTGCCCGAGCGCGTGTTGTAGCAGTCTTGCATCGGACCAAGAAGACATTGTGTATGCATTCGATGTGCAAGACAGTCGCCTCAGTGCCCTGTTACTCGTGCACAGTGTGCGCAGAGGCAGTTATCCCCCGGCGGCCGCCGATCCAGGCACCTCGCGCCTGTACATGGCGCGAGCATTCCTTTCATTGCACGCGTGCTTCTGGTGTGGTGATGCGGTTGAAAAGCCTGCATTCCTTCGCACACCCACATCTAGAAGCAGGCTTGAAAACCTAGCGAGTAGTTCAAGTAGACAGTAGGAGTAAAAGCAAACTAGACGCACGACATCTCCCCGCTGGCACAGCATGCCCACTAGCCCGTGAGACCGGAATTAGCTAAGTGCACTAGCCAACGCACAGTGTTCTCGCACCAAGCAACCACTTGCATGTAACATGAGCAGTAGTTTGTGTTCACTAGTCGAGGGATTGGAATAATACCAAGTAGTACATGTAGTAGTCGTTAGTGGGCTCGAATGGAGAGCCAAGGATAAATGTATCATCTGAGAACAGAAGGACCAAGGAACTACAAGTTACGCTATAGTTTGAGTAACTGGTGGTGTTAGTGGACATTACAGCATAACTTGTAGTTTCTTGGTCCTTTTTCCTTTCTATAAGTAATCCCTAGTAGTGGTAGTATTATAATTTTTACTTGGGTATGCCTAACATGCTATCAGTCTTGAGAAGTTTCCCGCTCGGCTAAATTTTAATGTTACGGTAGTAACTTTTATAGTCGTGTGCTGCGGTGGTCCAGATCCGTAGCCTGCATTGTAGGATGTTTCTTGTGTTAATGTATTGATTCCGGTGTACTAGTACTGAAGTAGTTGAGTCGGTGTACGTCTCGTATACTGGCGCTCTGGCCATCACGGCCATTGAGCACTCTATATGATCTAGCAGGTTAAGCCTCTGTAGTCGAGTCATTGTGCACATCCCAGTCAACTGTACTTGATGATGCCTTTTTCTGCCTTCGTGCCAATTCTGAGGCACGTAGCCGCACCTGCACAAGGTCTCAAGTCTCGCTTGGACTTGTACTGTCACGAGCCTCCTCTCGATTTGGTTATTCCTCTCTTTCTTATTTAGCCGCTGACCGCTGGAATTCAGTTCCGGCATCGGTCCGCCTTGCTGCTTCACCAAGTCAATTTCGTATCGCAATCCTAGATTGGCTAGGGTACCCCGTAAGGAGACCATAGGTCTGTGGGGACTGCCCTAGAGAAATATGAATAAATACTATACTATACTATGTCTTAGCCAGCTCGGTTTAAAAAACATTATGTGATTTCTTCTATTTTTTAAATTTATATTTACTGGCTCAATATCTCGGAGTTTTTGTGCATCATTCTTCACTGCTCAACAGCACTGCATCAGGAGCCTTGCATATTATGCATAGTAGATGATGTGAAACTGTAGACCAGCGTAGAATACGATATTAATGTACGTGTACGCTCTTCTTTTCCCTGCTAGACAGCTACCTGCTACATTCCACACATCTCTTATCTCTTGCCACTAAACTGCATTTCGTTTAGAGCGGCCGCTGAAGTATTTCCAGGCTCAACAACCTTGCCCATCGATACTAATACTATGGGCGTGCAATTAGCAATTATTCGCACAATATCATATCCGCCGGATGAGTACGCGTATGTGTGACCTATGCAATCTAGGAATCCACGGATACAGACCAGCATACCCTCTCTGCATAGACCCAAACCGAAGGTCAATTCACTTGAATTTTGAGAGTGCTGGTAGCTGCATTAAGTGCACGGGGTTCGCCTGTTGTCGAGCCATACAGGCATTGAGCTCCGACTCAGAACCGGGCTGGCATAACTGCGTTGATGTCAATGTCATAATGGATACTAACTTTCAGAATAATCTTTTGAAAAATCCGGTATATCCTACATTATGGTGCCCCAGAAATTTGTGGCAAAAAAAGAGTAAATTATCGTGTCCGTTCCCGAAGGGAACTCACGACGGCCGCTAACACCCGATAAATCCTAAATTGTGGTAGGGACGCAGGATACATTCACCTATTCAAATTTGTTCAATCTCATAACGTGGTAAGAATACCTGAGTAGAAATTTAGCAGTTGAAAGTACAAAATAAATACCTAGCTTCTTCCATTGAAAACACCACGGTCATGAATACCATGCTGATCATTGCTAGAATTATTATTAAAAGGAAGAATTTTGAATTTTGACCAACCTCAATTGCAGCTGATCCGGAGAAAATAATGGCCAACAACATGCTTGTGACATCCCCGTTCCGTGGAAGACCGGGAACAATATCCGCGGGGTGCTCATGACTCCAAACGCATGCGTACAAGTGCATCTCAAACAGGGGCAGCGGTGCCTAGGGAAGAACTTCTATCACCGCGCGTCCGTGTATCTTTGCCTGCGAGAGCTTCACGACGGCTGAGTTGAGCTGATGCCAGTTGAACAACTGGATGGGAGGCGACTTTATCTGGACACAGGAACAAGGCAAGATTGTGGTTGGAGGGCACCGACGACGCTTAAAGAGTGAGCACTGCAACAGGAGATTCGGATGCTGGAGATAAACGTAATCAAGCAGTGTGCTCCACTGCTAGAAGAGTGCTCAATACCCATATAAGGCAGCGCCTTCCATACAAGAGGGGGAGAGAGAGGGGAAGCTGTGTTGCAACTCCAAGTTTCACGTAGTCACGATCATCAGGTGTGTGACTGTGTCAGTTGCCTGATGATCGTGACTACGTGAAACTCGAAGTTGCAACACAGCTCCCCCCCCCCCCCCCCCCCCCCTCATGTTGGAGATAAATGAGAGCCTGTTGACATGCTAGGGGGCAGCGGAACGGGTACAGTTGGTCAGGCCATGGTCGGGCCAACTGTTAACCACCTACACCTGTTTACTGCTAGGTAGGTCATGTGTAGCCACCATATCATACACAAAGTAGGAAAGACCATGGAATCACTATGGCCGGACCAAGCAAGAACTGCGTCCACTGGCCCTGCGTACACTGCCATGTAATGTTGCAACACATAACCAGTGTAAAACGGGAATGCTCAGCAACCCCCTCGGATGATACGCTACGATCCCTCCACCCGTAACTTGCAGCCCTCTCTCAAGCGAGTAAGGGAGTGAGGGAGAGAGAGAGTGAGAGAGTGAGGGAGAGAGAGAGAGAGAGAGAGAGAGAGAGAGTGCGAGTGAGAGAGAGAGAGAGAGAGAGAGAGAAGAAAGAGAGAGATGCGGGCATCTAAACGACTGCCCAATTTGCACCGGCGTTTCCTCCAGTATACGGCAGCGACAATGGATGACTCACTGCTTCCATTTCCCACCCATAACCCACCGAATTCACACACCCTAAACAACTTAACATTATCACTAAGTCTTATTGGTGCCACTTTACTGCTGTGGACAACAGTGGCAAGGGCTGGCTGCAGTGCCAGACTCCCGCTAGTATTGCTACCGGGAAGTCCACCACTGCGGACTGAGCTGCAGTGCCTGCTCTACTGCTGGCGCACTTACATTGTTCTCATGGATGAGTGCCAGGAGCTCGGCAAGGGCAGCTGTACTGCCGGCGTGCAGGCCGATGATGCGATGACATCGGAGCGGCAGCAGTGGTAGCGGATGCTCCAGTGCTCCGCCGTACAGCCCCACCACCAGCAATGTACCGCCCTGCAGGGACAAGTACGACCAACACCAACAGCTCTTTATTATAGAAACCAGAAGAATCAGCAAAGCCGGTATTGTACGTAGTAATAATCAACAAGAAAAAATATGAATAATAAAATTTCACAAGTTGAGGGAATGGAAAAGGGAATAGTCTGAAGAAAAAATTGATCGTCACCGCCAGGAATTGCACTAGGGACCTTCGCTTGAGGTCAGCGATGCCCTGACCACTGAGCTATGGGACATCTTTTTACACTATTAAGTTAAAACTTCCGGGCCAACAAAGGGGATGCGACTTACAATCGAGTGTATGACATACTACTGAAGTGAACACAGAGGAAAAAATATGGTTTATACCTGGAAATGGGGTGCAACTTACAATCGGGGAAATACTGTAAAACCGGAAAATTTCGGGAGATTTATTTTCCGTAACTTTCTCACCTGCACTTCTCCAATTTGCACATGCCATCAACTTCGGTACAGGTGATTTCTACCTAAAATAAAACGCGACCTAAAATTCAACCATGCCATGCCACACAGTGTGCAAAATGCATTTTTTGGATCTAGAAAACTGGTTTACCGAAATTTCTGCGCTACTGAACCATTGATTTGGGGAAATACAGAAAATATCATACCACCGAAAATTCCCAGTTTTAGAGTTACCTGCTGCAGAACACCCAGCGAGTGTGATGTCGTCTGGCTGGAGCCAACAAAGTCTATGACGACGTCGACGCGATCGCCGCACACCAATAGTGTTCTCTCTTTCACCTCGTCTGTGCTCAGGCCTGTAGAGATCGAGAGAGGAAACAGATATTCATTAATCGCCAAACATACGTACTCCTCAAACGTTAAACATTCCTTTTCAAGAGTTTACTATACTCTACAAGCCACATCCACGCTGGTGCCGAGTGCTGCTGTGTGCCTCCTTCATACACTTGAAGCCTTGCGTCGACGTTCCTTTCTACTATCCAATCGTAAGACCTGTTGTCAAGGTGACCATGGAAACCCAGATACCAACATAGTGACACGTATCCGCTCACCTTGCGCCCAGTGGACGGTTGCCATAGCACCACATGTCCTGGCCGTTTCCAACTGCTCCTCCTGCAGGAAGAGCACGGAATAGGATGAACCCCCGTGCACTACTACAGCATCAAGCATGAACAAAACAAGGGCATTCCCGGTAGATGGCTCCACAGCTTTTATATAATGAGTTCTAGACAGCTTTATCCCCCCTCTCCCACCATCATCTCAGCCCATTCCGCTATCCAAAGGCGTCAACGCCGCCCTGTTTGAAATTCCCTAGTAAGACTAGAATACCAACTCCTATAAAAAATGTGCATGTGTAAACGGGAAAGGGCTGAAGAAAAAATTGGCTGTCACCACCAGGACTCGAACCAGGGACCTTCGCCTATGGCCAGCGATGCTTTACCATTAAGCTTTGGTGCGGTCATCATCCAAGCAGCGACCGTTCAACACCAAACAAGAATAGATATTAATAATAAAATAATACCCACATGGTACGCCAAGGAATCAATAAAATAATGCCGTATTTTCCGGGGTATAAGCCGCACTTTGAACGCTCTGTCACTCAAGTTTCACCCAAATAAGGAGGGTGCAGCTTATACTCCGATGATCAAATTAACCATGATATACAGGGTAGATGTAGCACTCTGGCAGGGTACGTTCGGGCCTGATTTAAATCTGGCTTTGGAAATTTTATTTTCATTGCTATCAGGTTCGGCCTCATTTTCTCTGTGCTGCGCTGATGAGTTCGCAAAGGACGAAACGGCATGCTGTCCACAGATTGAGTAGGGTAGATGTCTGTATTTGGTGGCAAATAGGTGGTGCAGATTGTACTCCAGTGCGGCGAATACTCCGGAAAACACCGCTAGCTTTTAAAGTCACTAACACGACAGTCTGCTGCGTACACATCGAGCTTTGCTACGGGCAGGATGGTGGTGGCCAGGCGTATGGCCCACTGACCCAGACCACCACAGCCGACGACCAGCAGGCGGGCACGGCCGCGAACGCTGGAGGAGAGTGCCAGTGCGCTCCGTGACTCTTGCACTGCGGAGAAGGCGGTGAGACCCGAGCAAGTGGCAACGGCCACCGTCCGCAGGTCCAGACCCACCGGCACTTTCAGCACAAATCGCGGATCCGGCACGGTGGTGTGGGTGGAGAATCTGGAGAAGAGGGGAGAGAAAGAGAGAGAGAGAGAGAGAGAGAGAGAGACTTCTGTATGTTTGCCGGAGGGGGGGGGGGGGGTGTGAGCATATACAAGTACGTTACGTTATAAGGTCGAAACCATACAAGAGGACCTGGAGTAAGACTTGACTGGGATGGATACTGATAAAATTGACGTCTCGACAAATGACCTTCTTCAGAAAGATGTGAGCGGAGTGAAAGTAAAGGAAGTGCAGGAGAGAAGTATGTGCTAGAGTGGTGTGATGATAAATGAATCTTCTTGCTGGAACCTTGCTTTGCTTTTCATCAACCGCCACACCACAACTGCGCTCTCTAGCCGTACTCGACACATTGCCACAGTACACACCGTCAGCTAAGCGACACATCCGCTGGTACTTCAAGTACATTGTACTCAGTTCCTTCAGACAACTGTTTCGTGTGAGTATAAAATTAGGGCTCAAACGGTTAGTCCGATTAACCAGTTGCAGACCGGTTACGAAGAATTAACGGTTACGCAGTAACTTTTCAGTCAATTTTTCAAGTACAGTCAAATCTGTCGTAAGCGACCGCCGCTTGGTGCAAGAAAAAGCGGTCTCTTACGGCAGATGGTCTCTTACGGCAGATGTATGGTAAATCCGGCATACCGGGTATATGCTTCCATGTACTCAAATCGACGAGAGTAATGTGATTTTTATATCATTTATTGGATATTCAACGACGACCATACCCGTATAGTACGCGTATGCGACACGGCAGTAGATCGACACTGCCTGGACTTGAGAGCTACAGCACAGCCTCAGTACAGGCCAGGGCCAGTCGATCGCACTTGCAAGACAGCGCATTTTCACACCTTGCAGTTGACAGCGCACTGGCAAGTACAGTTTCGCACCTGACTGAACCTGGGTCGCCGTCGCTTACAGCAGATTTGAATGCATCCACATTACATGAAATCGCGGTCGCTGGTCGCGCACAGCAGATGGTCGCTCCGGACAGATCAGTTTGTGTGTGAAAACGTCGGTGCACGGAAAATCGGTCGCTAACGGTAGATGGTCGCCTACAGCAGAGGTCGCTAACGGCAGATTTGACTGTATCAGGTCGTTGCAAAGTATGCACTTTCGCAGGCTGTCGCACGCGTATGCAATTTCTGGGGTGTCAACTCGGTCATATCTGGTCTCTTGGTGTAAGAGTATGTATGAATGAGCATGCAAGAGAATGTACATGTGTGCGTTGTACTGAAAAGGGTACATTTTTTTGAATGAGTATAGTCAAATATACGGTTAAAAAAGAGTCTGCAGGATTGCCGTGGCTTATAGGGTATAACCGTTAAACCGACCGTTAGCTTAGCAGTTAACCGTTAGGGGTAAAACCGTGACCGTTTGAGCCCTATAATACAGTCAACTTCGCTTATAACTAGGGCTCAAACGGTCACGGTTTTACCCCTGACGGTTAACTGCTAAGCTAACGGTCGGTTACCCGGTTGTAACCTATAAGCCACGGCAATCCTGCGGACTCTTTTTTAACTGTATATTTGACTATACTCATTCAAAAAATGTACCCTATTCAGTACAACGCGCACTTGTACATTCTCTTGCATGCTCATTCATACATACTCTCACACCAAGAGACCAGATATGACCGAGTTGACAGCCCAGAAATTGCGTACGCGTGCGACAGCCGGCGAAAGTGTACACTTTGCAACGACCTGATACTTGAAAAATTGACTGAAAAGTTACTGCGTAACCGTTATCTTTATCGGTTAACCGTTAATTCTTCGTAACCGGTCTGCAACCGGTTAATCGGACTAATCGTTTGAGCCCTACTTATAACAACACTCGGCGGGGTATCAGAAAATCGTCCTTATACCCGAAGTCTCATTATGTGTATTACAGTTAGATGGGACTTTGCTCTGGGTATGGAAATTCTGTCGTTATTTGCGAATTGTCGTTATATCCGCAGTCGTTATTAGCGAAGTGGACTGTAAAACCCTCGCCGGCTTGCGGACACACTATGGTTTGCTTGAATATACTAGTGCTGTTCGAGAAACCGGTAGTGGTAGCGTTGGTGGAAAAGCGCGAGCTCAGGTGTGCGGAGCGAACTCCATTCCAATCAAGCCTCGGCTGAAACAAAACCGGGGTTCGCATCTGGCCCTGGCATTGCATGAAAGCTGCACGCAAAGTAGGAACGGCGGAACCAGTCCAGTTGGTCAGACCGTGGCCAGACCAACTCTTTGGGCACCAAAAAAATTCACGGTTCGCGTGAGACTCGGTTGGAAGCCGGGTTTTCCGCATCCGTAGGAACACCAAATCATACACTAAATATGAAGGGCTGTGGTATGTTTGGACCAGTCAGAAAACTGCTTCCGCCTGTCCTGCAAAGTATCAAGTGGAATGACTTACCCGCCAGGTCTCTGGAAGCCCAACACTCGCTGTAGCGGCTTCTCGCAGAAGTTGTCTCGCTTGTGCAGACACTGCGGGCACTCACCACAGCCAATGAACGGGTACACGGCCACGTGATCGCCCACTGTGCAAACCCGACATAGGCAAGAGGAACGAGTTAAAGGGGAAGTTAAGGCAAAAATTAAAATTTCACCAGTTGTAGTCTTCGGGGTGCTGAGTCGAATGGTCGTGGTCCGAGGAAGCTGAGACGCTCCCTTCCTACTTGAATCCCAATCGAACTCGCGCACTTCCACTGAAACTGGGTGACTGCGCCCTACTAGATGGGGATTTGTATGCAAAATGTCACTAAAAGCGCCATTTCGTTCTTATAAAAGCACGGATGACCGCGATTGGCCCATATGTTGTAGTCTTTTGGACGCCGAGTCGACTGGTTTTGGTCCGAAAAGGCTGCGATGCAGCGTTCCTCCTTTATTCCCAATCGAACATGGTTGAACAAGCGGTCACGTGCTCCTGGGTGCCCAAATCACCTGGTCACCACGCCAGCAGGCGACAACTTTCACACCAAGGTTCAACTCGAGTGACAGGACTGCACCCAAAAAAGGTCAAACAGGCTAGTAAGTTGTACCCTGCAGGCACGGTGACCAGGTGACTAGCGTACGAAGGAGCACGTGACCACTTGTTTAACCATGTTCGATTGGGAATAAAGGAGGAACGCTGCATCGCAGCCTTTTCGGACCAAAACCAGTCGACTCAGCGTCCAAACGACTACAACATATGGGCCAATCGCGGTCATCCGTCCTTTTATAAGAACGAAACGGCGCTTTTAGTGACATTTTGCATACAAATCCCCATCTAGTAGGGCGCAGTCACCCAGTTTCGGTGGAAGTGCGCGAGTTCGATTGAGATTCAAGTAGGAAGGGAGCGTCTCAGCTTCCTCGGACCACGACCATTCGACTCAGCACCCCGAAGACTACAACTGGTGAAATTTTAATTTTTGCCTTAACTTCCCCTTTAATGCTACATGCACCAACAAATCGTATGTATACTTGGAACCCGTTATGTGAGTTTTCGCCGTCGGATACCTCATATGCGCAAAGTTGCACACTCTTGGGAGCTTATTTTCAAGTACCAACCTGAACAGAGTCATATTCGCATCTTGGTCCTGTGACTAAACTTGCATAGAAAGTGATCATGTCATGTGTACAGTGGAACCAACATGGCCGACATCATGTGACCCATAGATGCAGGGGTTGAGTGGAGTTGGAACCAACATG